TCCGCTCAACTTGTTGTGCTCCATTCTCTTCTGACTGGCTCTTCAGTGCCTGAGCTTCCTAATTATGCCCCATGTATCAGTTGTAGGCCCTCTTTGATTTTGTGATTTTTGATTGCACGACTTGTAGTCTCTGCTGTTGGACTCTCTTCTTTTCTAACTCACTTGATTCAAAATTTCACATTTTTACTCGCTTGTAATGGTTTCATCCAGATAAGAGGCACTTGCTCTACCAGTTTTGGTTCCCAAGGTTTGCACCATATTCAGGACTGACCCCAGCCTAACAATCACTGTCAAATGTATCCGTTTATCCAACCATCCACCCTTCTGTATAGACTGCTTATTTCCAAGGAAGATTTTGGGAGGTTTACAATAAAATGTACAAAAGGCATAGAATCTAAGTACTAGGGGGAAAAAAAGGAGGACTATTATTCTAGAAAACGTAGACTAGAGAAGACTGCTTCTCTGTTATAGATTGAAGTGTGTCCCCCAAAACTCATATGTTGAAGTCCTTACTCCAGTACCTCAGAAGGTGACTTTATTTGGAAACAGGACTGTTGCAGACGTAATTAAGTAAGATGAGGTCATATTGCAATAACATGGGCCCCTAACCCAATATGACTGGTGTCCTTATAAAAAGGGGAAATTTGGACATAGACGCTCACACAGGAAGAATGCCATGTGAACATGATGGCAGAGATTGTGGTGATGCATCTACAAACCAAGGAATGATTTAGAATGCCAGCAAACCACCAGAAGTGGTAGAAGTGCCAGCAAATCACCACTAGGGGAGAGGCCTGGAACAGAAGGAACCAACCCTGCTGATACCTTTATCTTGGACGTTTAGCCTCCAGAACTGTGAGACAATACATGTTTGTGGTTTAAGCCACCTAGTGTGTGACACTTTGCTATGGGAGCCCTAGCAAGTGAATACATGATCTTAAACATAAAATCAGTATTCCTACTTAGATGGAAGACTGCACCTTTTTTCCAAAATTACATTTTGAGCTTGATTGATTATGTCATATATGACATGGCCTTTTATACATTTTCCTAACCATCAGATTGGATGATGAGACACTTACTATTTTTCTATATTTAAAAATATCTACCAGAATAACATATATGGGATATGGAATTGCCCTCTCGGTTCATAAGCTCCATCCCCTCCAGACACAAAATGCTTACTAAGCAAATTATTCACAGAATTAATTTTATTCTCATTTCCTTTTACTAGTGGTTTGACCCTGATTTTGATTCCCTAAAAGGGCAAAAAATTTGGCATGGCTCCCGGTTATATTTGGCCTTCTGCAAGTTAAATCTTCCTTAGACCTTCCTTCCTTCCTTCCTTTCCAGCCCCTTCAATTCATTCAGAAATAATTTATTAAATATTATTTCTGACATCTCTGTAAATTTTCTTCAATGACTCATGTTGTTGAACACCCATGTTAACCAGGCATTGTGTTAGGCACTGGAAATACAGCAGTAAACAAGGCAGAAATAGTCCTCGAAAAGAACCCTCTGGCATTGTGTTGAGGTTAGAAAAAGAATCGAAATAAAGCCTTTTGTGGCCTGGATATTTGTGCTATCTTCTTTTTACTGCAAAACTTTTGTGGTGGCTTTAATAATGCACCATCCAGCCATAATTATGTACCTCTTTGGTACATACAAAAGAGATCCTGACATCCTGGATATGTAAAATTATGGAATCATGGTTTCTTCCAGGCTATTACCCTTAATATTCCAACAACCCAAAGGCACTTTTCTTTTCTTTTTTTTATTTCTTTTTTTTCCCCCAGTAATAAATACACATACTTTAAGAAATCATATAAAGGGCCGGCCGAGTGGCGCGATGGTTAAGAACTCGCTTGGGATGCCAGAGGGCCCCGGTTCGGATCCCACATACTTGGGCCAGTGAAGCAATGCCCTCCACAACTAGACTGAAGAACAAAACGACAGCAACTTGTCTGTTCCCCTTCCCCCAATTCCCCAGCACTGGTCCCATCCCGCCAATTCCCCAATTAAAAAAAAAAAAAAGAAATCATATAAAGCTAAAAGTTTCCTGTTGAAAAGCTGGCCCTTATCCTACCCAACTAAATCCCATGTACCAGAGGTAACCACTTTCAACTTATAGCGCCCCCCCCCACTGCTACTTTTTCTATATTTAGGAATACTATCCCCATCTGATATTTCTTGATGTATCAATTTTAAGTATTACTTATTGATTTTCTGTTGTGGTAGTGGACACTTTCATCCTCTCTTCCTTGTCATTACCACACTCTAAGTTCCCTTTTCTTCAGCCTTCCAATACAATTCTCCCACACGTTTTGGTTAAACAGGCATGACTATATTGTTATAGTTATGTAAATAATAACTACTGCTATTCTGAATTCCTTCCTTAGACAACTTTTGTCTGTTCTTGTGATTGATAATTGCCTGTTTGAAACCCCCCTCCATTTAGTGTGTAGACTTTGAATGACCCTCTCTTTACAGCATGGTGTCCCTCCAAGGCTCTTGCCTGCCCAGAGGGCTGGTAGCTTTAACCCCTGAGCCCTTGCAAAGTGTTCTGCAGAGTGAAATGGCTCGCTTCCTTTGGGGCTTCTTGCAGATACATAGGTTGTCACTTCCTCTGCTCTATTCAGTCAGTAGCCAGTCTTACATCTACTTAGTAGCATCAATGCTGTTTTTCTTCATTATAACTTTAAAGAGATTTGAGAAAGAAAAGGGAGTTAACATGAATGTTCAGAAGTCCAAAATTCCTCTTTTTATAAACCATATGTTTATCTTGTGTAGACTCAAGATCTCTCTCTTCTCTCTCCCCAAACCACCCTGGAAGTAGGCTCTTTCATTCTCATCTCAAGCATCTGATAAAATATTCCAATTTTTTTCCTCATCTTCTCAGTCTCCCAACCTCTTCTATTTCACCAGTGGCCCTCAGGTTGAGGGAAAGATGGAAAATGATACAATCTACTTAATGGGTGAAGATTCTTACATATAGGAGTTGCCCTCGCTGTAGCAGAAAATTAGAGTCAATCATCCAGAAAGTATGATTGTATAAAAACTTTACTTACCTCAGTACATCTATGGCAAATGAAATATTTTGTGAATTGATGAAACAGCACAAATTAAACTAGGGAGAGAAAGGGCTGTTAAAGGCCAGAGTGCTGAGGGATTAATTTATTATCTCTCTTCATTCTTACTGATGGTCTACATTTACATATCAATATATTTGAATAATTGAATGAGATGTGTGGCATGTCCATACAGTCCAATATTACTGATCTATAAAAAAAATGAAGGACCAATATATGTTACAACATGGATGAATCTTGAAAATATTATTATTTTTTAAAGAACTCAGTCACAAAAGACCACATACTGTATGACAGCCTTTGTAGGAAATGTCCGGAATAGGCAAATTTATAAAGACAGGATATAGAATGGTAGTACTTAGGGCTGGGTTGGAGAAGGGAGGATTTGGATTGACTGCTTATGGGTATGAGGTCTCTTTTAGGGTTAAATTGTGTGCTTTAAATGAATTGTATGGTATGTGGCTTATATTTCAATACAGCTATAAAGAAAGCAAAGAAAAAAAAAATGAGATGCTTACTTTAGTTCTAGTGCACAAAGCCAGAGAGATGGAGTCCAAATTGGGAATCTTCAGAAAAACTTAAACATATTGAGTACAAATGGCAGCCTTCAGCAGTTAGTATTCCCAAACTGTTTCATTTCCAATCTTCCTTGCCCACTACAGCATCCTAATATGAAGCATATGCTTTTCCTCTCAGATAAGATATATTTATGACAGAAGATGCTGGTAGGGATATCCTGGATCTTTTCATTCTCTGCATATGCATGAGGCAGGGTAACTTCTAGAAGACAGAATCCTGCTCTCCTGGAAGGTGGAATCAGAGTGGCACAGAGGGCAATCATTAGAGACTGCCTCCTGCTTGGGTTAGATCAGGCACTGCCAATGGTGGAATGCTTTGGTGGATCTTTGGAAAATGAAATGCAAACCCTATGCTAAGAATAAGAAAGATACTGTCCTTGTCCTCTTAGAGACAAGATGTCTCAAAATACCCTCAGCATGAAACCTGGTGGTCTTGATGGTACTTCTTTTTCTATTAATAATGAATTTATTAGCTAGCACTAACCTATTATAAGAATACTTGCCTGTACAATAGCAAATTGACTTCACAAAACTCCTACTAGGTAATATACATGCCAAGCATGTATGTGCAGGGAAGACATAAGATCTTTTACATCTGTTTTCACACAGCCTCCCAAATATCTAGCATAGAGCAGACATTCAACAGATATTTGCTAATGGGCAACATGTCTTTGCCATCGTAGAACTTACAACTGGCAAAAGAAGCCACATAGCAAGCAATTATAATGAAGTGTGATAAGTACAGAGGAAAGTGGGGGCTTTCTGAAAAGGCACTTACCTTAGACTTGGGGAGCCATGGAAGAGCTCCTGGAGAAGGTGATATCCAAGTGAGACTGAAGGATGAGTGGGACTTTGCTGGTCAGAGGTGGCTATGTGGGAATTGGGAGAATATGGGAGGAATGCAACATTACAGCAAGGAATGTTCCAACAAGAGGGAAGAGCATGAGCCAGGGCTTGGAGAAGAGACAGAATTTGCAAAGAAATTGACTATGACTGGACAGTAGAATGAGTGGAGTGGCTAAAAATAAAGAAGAGGAGGCAATATAGAGAGCCATAAAATCCACATTTAAGAGTTTGGGTTTTATTTTAAGCACCCATTGAAGGGTTTTAAACCAGGGAGAGATAGAACCTAGCATGTCAGCTGGCATGATGTTCTCAAGAAGGATTAGAATTCTTGAACTTCAGTGGAAAGGCTGAGCAGCAAACGCTATTCCTTTCTTTGGCCATATTCCAGGGTATATTTTTGAATGTTGGCAAACTGAATATCATAACTCTTACCAAAACCAAAATAACTTCTTGGATCTAATCCTGCCTATTCTTAATTACTTTCCAGATTCTGTGTAAAACTGACACCTGGTATTTATTATGATGGAATCCATTTCTCAAGGCTCCTGGAAGTCAAAGAAGTTGCTGAAGCCCAACATATCATTTCTCTCCAGCTGTCCCCAATGACTTGTGGATACCATTTCCTAATATTCTGTGGTTTGAAGATTTGTTACAAAAATTCATGCTGGACTAGATTTAATACCCAAATTAGGATGTATAATTTCAATAAATCTCAATATCCCAAATTCGTATCTACTCTTTTTCAGGATCACCAAAACTTTGCGGCAGGATATTTTGTATCATTCACTAAGTTGATGAAGGAGGCTCCTGAAGTCTGCCCTGATAAAATTGAACTTGGTGATTATATCATAACAGTCTTTATTTTAGTGTCCCCCCACTCTTTCTTATCAAGTCCATGTTTATTAGTGCTGGAACAGCATTACCTATCATTCTCACAGTGAAAATCAGCTGTGCAGCAGTGCCAGGTTGGCTCGTATAGTTTCCTCCTAGAGCAGTGGGTAAGCAACTTGGACTTTGTTTCACCCTCCATCTCCCCTCTCTTATCCCTGGACCCTGGTAACAGAATCCAGAACGGAAGAAGTACAGGCAAGTTTCGGTAATCGGATGGACCAGGGTTTGAATCTTGGTTTTATTGTCTACTCAGTATAGTATCTAGAGAATAATATCTGTTTTCTCAGCTTCATTGCCCTCACTTGTAAAATGAAGTTACAATATCCAATATAAAAGATTACTGTAAGGATGAAATGCGATGATAGGAATCAAGTGCCTAGCACAATAACTGGCACATTTAATGCTCAATAAATGGCAGATGCTGCTACATTCATGAGGAAAATGTAAATCTTTGGCAACTTGTCCTTATGAAAACCAAGTCTGAACACTAAAATTAGCCAGCCCTTCAGGCTAGAGGAACATATGCAAATCACATGCAGATGTGGCCTTTACTCTGAGGAAAATCCCTAGCACATCTGCTTCTTGTCATTATAAAGAAAATGTGACAGGGATTGAAGAAGCCATGTTCTGTGTGAGATTTGATATATTATTTCATTTTATTGATTCTTAGTGTCCTCATTTGTAAAATGAATATTTTAGATTAGGTGACTTTCAAGTAGTTTGAATTCCATATTTCTGAGCTTCTATGGACATGTTTAAACCATATTGTAATTCTACTAAGGGCTAAGGCCATTAAATATCTATATGCAACTAAGAACACAGTTGTATAGTTGTGTGTGTGTGTGTGTGTGTGTGTGTGTGTGTGTGTGTGTGTGTGTACTAGGGGGTGATTGGGCTAGAGACAAACCCTTTGATTCAAGAGTTCGCCCTGATTTTAGGGAGACCATGACAAATCCTGCTTGTTCCAAATTTATCTTCTACTAATCCAACATGGATTTTTCTTTAATGCCATATAATGAGTGTCTCTTAAAAATATTACCTAACCAATATTTCTTGGTTATGACTTCAACTACCACGTGTATGAGTAACTCATCAGAACAATATTTCTAGCCCTCTAGAGAAAGCCCTAGTCCAAAAACATGTATTTCAAATGAAACCAGTGTATCCAGCAGATGACTAGGAAGGCAAGGTGATTGATTTCTTCTCTTCATTTACTCTGAATGCAATTTGCTTCCTCATTATTAGTGGTCTACTTCATTGGAAATAGCATTTTCACTTCTAGAGTCACTTTGTGTTTTGGCAGACAGCTAGTAAGAAAACCATGGTGATATGTGAAGTAGTAACAGGAGTTAGCATTAGTGTTTGTGGCATGAATTACAGGTCAGGCTAGATATTGTTAGAGAATGAAACAAGAATAAAATAAGCAGGATGTGCATATAGAAATCTATTTATAATTAGAAAAGTTGTAAAGTACCTGGATTATTATTGCTGGCTAATAATTTTGTCTAACATCTAATAGTTTAAAAATTACCCTTATGTTAGACTCCTGGAGA